CATCTGCGTACCCGCAGAGTCACAACTCCACATCAGTGGGGAAGGATGGTCAGGGCAGTGGATGGGTAGGGTCAGCGCAAGGGCCAGGAGGATCGGCACAATTGGTGAAGAGAATCGATGCAGTGAGGGAGGAGGGTGGGCATGGTGGCTGGGCGCAGTAGGTGAGGACGGTGGGCGCAGTTGGGGAGTAGGAAGGCTGGCGCAGTGGGGAGAGGGGGTCGGTGTAGTGGGGTAGGAGGGTGGACGCCGTGGCTGGGCACGGTAGGGAAGGCGAGCAGGTGCAGTTGGGAAGGAGGGCAGGTGTAGTTGAGGAGGAGGGTGATAGTGGTATAGCGGAAGTGGGAGCACCACACGGCAGAGAAGGGAAAGGGGAGGGGAGATGGGCGCAGGGGGCAGGGGGCATGGGGGGAGAGAGAGCAAGAGCGGGAGCGGCACACAGCAGAGAGGGGGTGGAGGAGATTGGTGCTGGGTCGAATGTGCGCAAAAGCGCGAGAGAGAGAGACACACAGAGAGAGAGGAGAGGGGGGGGGGGGGCAGGATAGCAGGAGTGGCACACAGCGAAGAGGGGGAGTGGTAGGGGGAGATGGGTTTTTTGTTCTTGTTTTTCATATGATAAACGAAAATACAGCTGTCTTCTCCTCATACGGGGGACAGTTGTATTTTTTACCTACCCTATTTTCTTCTCTCTTACCTCCCTCCAGCTATCCGTATCTATGCCTTACCCACACGCCCCACCAAGCTGACAACAGATCACAGACACCAGAAATCTTAAATTTACTAGCCAAAGCTAAGCTATCCTAAGGTTATGGGTCTACGCCTAAGGGGAAAACTTCCAAGAGTAAGTGCATAAGAGAGAGAGAGAGAGCAGGAGCAGCACACGGCCGAGAGGCGGTGGGGACGGGGAAGAGGAGATCGGCGCTGGGTCGAGTGTGTGCACACGACCGCGTGCGAGAGAGAGAGAGACAGACAGACAGACAGACAGAGGGGGGGGCACGATAGCGGGAGTGGCACATGGCGAGGAGGGGCAGTGGTAGGGTGAGATGGGCCAGGGCAAATCCTCTTTTTTTTCCTTCTTTTCTTTTCTTTTTTCATATGATAAAAAAAGTACAGCACCCTATTTTCTTCTCTCTTACCTCCCTCTAGCCATCCGTATCTATGCCTTACCCACAAGCCCTACCAAGCTGACTACAGATCACAGACACCACCTACTTGTGGATGTCAGGACGGATCTTAAATTTATTAGCCAAAGCTAAGCTATCCTAAGGTTATGGGTCTACGCCTACGTATCTCTGCTCTGTGAGAGGGGGAAGGGGAAATGGGTTCCGAGTCATGTGCACATAAGAGAGAGAGAGAGAGAGAGAGAGAGAGAGAGAGAGAGAGAGAGAGAGAGAGAGATCAGCTTTAATGCAACTACCACCGACCCACCAAACCCTTCAACCTCTGAGCTTTTCAAGACAGACAATCCTTCTCCATTGCAGGCGAAGCTGCAACAGGTAAAGCTAGTTTATGATAAAAGAGCCTATTCTAAGAGCTCATAATTTTCACTGATGGCTCCAGTCATTACATTTATATTTTACTAACTTGGGCACTTGGCCTGTAATACCTTTTAGATTATGACAGGGTACTGTCACATTTGTCAGAAAACCCACCACTATGCACCCCAGGGCCCAGGCACAGAAAAAAAAAGAGAGTTTGCATACATCCAAAATTTAGGGGGGCTCGGGGCTACAGGACCAAAATGGCTGGCACCACCACTACACCAGCCAAAAATAACAGAAATTGCACCTGCAGCATTCCGCTTTTCTTTCATGCGTACGCAGCAAAATTTCGGATCAGTAAAAACAGCCAAAGAACAGAATTGCACCTGCAGCATTCCGATTTTCTTTTGTGCTTATGCAGCACAATTTCAGATCAGTAAAGAGCCTCGGACGTGGTGGTGGTTAACACGTGTAAGGGGGCAGAGGGCAACAAGCATTGTGACATAGCAAGCCATGACTTCCTTCTCCACTCTTCACATTCTACCGATCCACAGACCAGAGATCCGTTTTCTGCCATCCGACCGAGGGACTCCACAGGTACACTCAGGAGCATTGAGACCCTCCGGTTTTGTGTTACTATAATTAGTACTGATGGGTGGTAATCTCCTGCTGACGTCAACTCCGACTCTTCATATGTTCACTGTCGTTGGCCTCAGAATTACACTCACTAGCTTCGAGTGACAAACTCCTTCCGGCAAGGCGTATGACACCCTACGCAGCTAAACGCATGTGCTTGTGTGGTGGTGCAGTCTTTTCCAGTCCGGTGATCCCTCCCAGCAATGAGTTGGACTGCCAATCAATGGCAAAATCAGTATTGGTATAGATCATCGGAAAGAAAAACAAGCAAGCTACATACACACCCTAATTCATCTGCTTTAGCACATGCGCCACCAGCACTCCATGGTCCAGGTTGGGTTCCTAAGCTTTCAGTTTCCACACAAAGTGGCCACACAAATGCACGCGGGAAGCCACTGTCAACAATTACCAACAGTGGCCCCCAAACACAGATGCAGAGTTCCTCCCCCCCCACCCCCCAACAAAATCCACCTGCAACTAACCATACACTTTGGGACTTCTTACACGGTACTCCGAAAGAAGAAAGCGTCAGATTTCACCATCTTCATAAGCTCTAGGTTTTGACACGAAGTGGGCACTGCCATACACTTCGGGACTTCTTACACGGTACTCCAAAAGAAGAAAGCGTCAGATTTCACCATCTTCATAAGCTCTAGGTTTTGACACGAAGTGGGCACTGCAACACATGCATAGGTCCGGGCTTGAACCATGTCTCCCAAAATAAATCAGTACATATGGCCTAAGACGATATCACGGATCGAGGTCGGAATCGGGTCGGATCGGGTGTTTTCACGTCCTACAATAGTACCCGGATACTCAGAATTGTGCTTCGCGCCAGTTACCAACAATGGCCTCCAAACACCTAAGAGACTTTTTTCCCCAAAAATTCAACTTGCAGCTGACCACACGCTTGCCTGGTTACAGCTACATCCCCCCTGGTTACAGGTACATCCCCCCTGGTTACAGTTACCAACAATAGCTGTCAACAGATACCAACAATAGCCTCCAGCAGAAGAAAGTTCGATTTCAGCTCTTCAGAATTGAACTTACAGCCACATCCCTGCCCAGCTTTTTTACCCACATTCTGATGAGCTGCATGGCCTTGTGTGTGACCTCTGAGAGTCACCCAACGACCATCACCGCTCAAGCACAGCCCAAGGTCATTCCAGCTAACTAGATCCATCTGACCCAGGGAATCCCACTTACGTCATTCTAAACACCTTCCCGGTGGGTTAGACGAGAATCCCCAAATCACACACATTGACTTCCCAATATTTATTTTCTTCTTTAACCAAACAAATGGGAGATAGGCCACTTTGGAAACACCTACCGTAGCCACAAACAGACCACCAAGGGCCTTAAACCACCAGTACACACCCGGGCCTGGAGGCACTCCACTGCCCGCCAAGCTTTGAGTGCACTTTTTTTTTTTTTTGGCTAGCGCCACCAGCCATTGTGGTCAGCGAGGCCCAAGGAGCATAAGTTTTGGAGTAGGTGATGAAACATTTTCCGCGAGGCTGGGGCCGTATACCAGCGGTTCAAGGGCTGGTCTAGATGGGCCTGCACCTGACTGCCTATGTATGGTAACTGGATTTCAAATGGGCTATTCCTCGCAGCATCTCGAAATCATTGGCCGAAGAAAGGACATTCCCCACCCCCCTCAAAAGAAAATCCACAACATAAGAACAGAGAAAAAAACGGAAGAAACGATAGACAGGCCAGGAAGTGAAGGGAGCCACAAGAATCGAAGTAGAACGGAGAGCAACAAACTCCACAGAGAGAAGGGGGAGATAGTGTCTCCTCTCCTCCGCTCCGAAAGGGACAGAACCCTCATCCAGCATCCGCGAAGCTGCAGAGAAAAGCTGACCAACTGGTCAGACAGTATGTGAGCAGGAAAGACAGACCGACCATCATTCTCCCCAAAAGGAGAAGCCCGACCACGAATGCATACAAGCAATCTCTTAGGGTGCGATATAGTCCTCATGAGGGTGGCTGTGCTGGGGGAAGACGGCAGTGTGCACGGGAAAACGTGAAGTCACAAGAGAGCCCAAGCAAAGGGATACAATACAGGAATGCCATAGAACTCCAAGGTACCAGAGCAAGTGCACACCTTAAGCGCCATTGCTCGCAAGTCTGGGCCGCTGCATTCGCCAGGGCTGCTGCACGTACGGGACTTTCCGTCTTCGATGATGAGACGCCTGCAGATGTGCCGCTCCCTTGAATCTGCCCGCCACCCGCCTTTGGGGCCAATGGCGTTGTTAATCCTGGTCCAACACCCAAAGAGAAAGACTCGTTCCTTCTGGTGGCTGTAAATGACATGTTTGGCCACAGGATACCCCCGTCCCAGCCCCCATTCTGCATTGCCATAGTTAGACCTCCAGTATTGGCAGTGCTCGTTGCCGACGGCCCCTGCCCTTCCCTCTTGCTTGACCCTGCAAGTCCACCATCCAGTTTAAGTCCCATAAAAGCGCCTGCTGAGCTAGAGGGGCCCTCTGTTGCAATATTGCCACGACTATCATAATCACCCCTCAATGCACCTGCTGCAACCTTCGATGCAGCACTCCCTATGCTGGAATCCATCCCCAACGCACCACCTCCACCTCCCCCTCTCCTCACACCACTGCGTTTGGCTCTGAAACGGGCTGTCCGTTGATTAGATGTCGTTGTCACTCCTGTTCCTGCAGGTCGGGATCCCAGTGTGAAACTCATGAACGGATTGCAGCCATTGGCCTCGTACGGTCCAAAGGCACTCCCTCCGGTGACAGCCTCACTGGCATGCCTTCCAGAGTCGTCATCGCCATTTCCCTTCTCCACAGTCCTGTCTGAAGACGCTGCTCCCTCTTCCACCACATCCCCCCTTTCTCCACCTTCCATAATCATCCCACTGCCGCTCCACCTCCCAATGTCATTCCTATTCCTCTCCCCCGCGCTATCTGGACCCCACCCCGCCTGCCCCCTCTCCCCAGCGTCCATCACACTCTCCTCAGCAATCCTACCGCCCGTTTCTACATCAGGTTGTTGCAGTTTCTTCGTCGCTTCCCTCACCACCTGAACTCCCTCCACCTCTGTCACACTTTCCTTGTCTCTACTGCCCGACTCCTCCTCCTCATCGTCCTCTCCCTCCTCCCTTTCGTCATCCCCATCCTCCTCTTCCTCCCTTCGGCCAAGTGCCTCTGAGCCACCACAGACCTTCCGAGGATCGCCACCACTTCCTCCTCGACTCTCTCCACCAACCTCCCTCCCTGCCACAGTTGTCCATCCGCTCCCTCCGCCAACGCTCGTTTCCATAGAAAGCATCGTTTGCCGCCCCTCCATCACCTTCGATCCATCCGTCCCACTCTCAACTCCGCCAGTCACATCATTGCCTTTCCCAGTCCCACCGTTCGGTAATGGGGAAATGTCCATTGGTTTGGGACTCCCATCGTCTCCAACCCCACGTCCCCCTGCGAATGCACTAGGAGGTGGGGTTGCAGGCATAGCACCGCCCATCATACCCAGATTGCCCAGGCCAGCAGTTGAAGCCGCCGCCAAACCGCCATAACCCCCCTCTACGCTTCCCACCACTCCCCTTTTCTCCCCACCAGCAAACCCTCCTCTGTCTTTTCTTAGCGCCCTCGCTGTCGGCTTCACCCTTCTCCTAGTTCCCCCGCCTGGTTTCGCAGGTGTTCCTCCTCCGCCTCCTTGTGAGACGAGCCCGAATTCGAATCCACTTCCTATCGTCACGTTGACCCCTCCACCCACCGCATTCCCGATCCCATCGGAGGGCCCGAATTCAAATCCACTTCCCACCGTCACATTGACCCCTCCGCCCACCGCATTCCCGATCCCATCGGAGGCAGATATCCCCGAAGTCCTCGGTGGTAGCGCCTCCGCCGCTGCAGGACCACCACCTTCGTTAGGCACATCCGTCGCTGCGCAGCCACCTGGCATGTTGTTCGAGAACAAGGACGTGGCCTCGGCCGTCTGCCGCCTGCCTGTCACCCCCCCTGTGCTCCCGCCGAACATCCCCGTTCCTGCCCCGACTTTCAAGGAAAAGTCAGGCACCACAAAGCTTTGCCCCACGCCAGCTGAATTTGCCGGCCAGCCCCGCCCCTCATTGCCTGCCGCAAACCCACCTAGGGTCGGGAAAATGTCTCCCAAGCCAATCCCCAATCCCGATGGACAGCCGCCTCCACCACCGAAATCGCTTCCTCCTCTGATACTGGCCGTCACTGCGCTCTCATCAGCGACTCGGCCAGGTGAAGGTCCCCTAGAAAACGAGGAGGCTCTCCCCGCCATACCGAAGGAGAACGGAGGCGTCGCTGTAGAACCCAGTTGGCCCCCACTGCCAACGTTCGCCCCCTCGTCTCCCCCTCCACCCCCAACTCCTGAGAATCCCGATCTGGATGAAAAGCTACCACCACCACCTGGGACTCCATGAGACACGCCCGCCGAGGACGGAGCACCCAGGTAAGTGTTCGGCCCCTCCTTATTGGAAGGGACGGACACTGAAGAAGGAAACCCCTTCACAGTAGCTGTCGACGACACGCCTGTGGCGCTGGAACAAGTGGAAGCGGAGAGGCCGTGCGGCGTGGCGCTGGAACAAGTGGAACCGGAGAGGCCAGCTGCCGCACTCGTGGGCATGCCCATCCGATCACCGAAGAACACTCCGGTCGAGACACGGGCAGCCGCGATAACACGATCAGCCATCGAAGAAGTCGCAGCAACATCTGGAGAAACCCCCCCTCCACCACCACCACCACTAGTTGCACCTGCGGCTCCCCCAGAAAAGACAAAAGCGGAAGTGTCCCCCCCGCTAGAGCGAAACGGAGGAGGATTACCCACACCGACAGATGATCCTACACTCTGCAGACCACCACCATCACCGCCCGAACGCGTTTCAGATGTGAAGGGAAGCTGCTGCTCTTTCATTGATATGGGTACCACCGGGATTCGGACAGGCATAGCCGAGAACGCCCCAAGGCTCGCAGAAACAGGTCCTCGTGCCCCAAAGATGTACGGTGACTGTGCTCCTTCCGTTCCTCCACCCCCCCTTTCTGGTCCACTCGGGAGTAACGATTTGAGTCCTCCACCCCCTCCTCCTGCGGTTGCTTCCCGGCCGACCGAATACAACGAAGAACCAAAGACAAAAGACTGTTGAACTGCAACACCGCACCCCGTCGGTGCTCCACCCTCCCCTCCCTCTCCCCCTCCCTCTCCTCCTCTTCCATCTTCCCTGGGCGCCGGCGAAGAGGATGGACTACCATATTGCTGTTGCAAATTAAGGAATACGGTCGGCAGACCCTCTGACGACACTCCTCCTCCCACAGAGTCGGAGGCGGTGCTGCTCGTCGTCGAAGCCAACCACGGCCACTGCGAAGCAGCGGGTCCTGTTGACCCCCCCACCACCACTTTCATTGGCTTCACAGTATCTCCGCAAGCTTCGCTAGCATCTCTCACCGGACCCTTCTCTTCTCCACCATCATTGCTTCCAATATCTGTGTTGCAATCCCGCTGCGTCAGCGGCGGATTTGTCTGGGGCTGTCGATGCAGGTAGCGATTCACGTTCCCCCTCGTGACTACCGGTCGCTCAGCCTGCTGCAAAGTCGGCATCCCCCGAGGCGCGGTCGTTGTTGTGAACGGAGAGAACGCGGTCGCCGATCCTTTCCCAATACCGGGTCCCCGCGCCCCACCAAACACGATTCCTCCTCCGGCACGTGCTCCCCTGCCATTACTATCTTCCGGGACCACCGTTCCCGCACCCGACGACGACCCAGCTACTCCTCCTCCATCGTCCCCTACCCCTCCCCTCAACTGTTCGAAAACAACCCCCCCTCTGTCAACCAAATTCAATTCTCCAAATTTGAGTGCTGCCAAGTGTACTCCTGTATCTCCTCTGTCTACTACATCCCCGCGTTCTGTTCCCCCTCCCCCTTCCCCTCCGGCCACGCATGCAGCGGCGTCTGCTAACGCGCTCCCCACGCTCGCCACAGGCTTCTCCAGAACAACTGGGGAAATCCCACGAACGTTCTCTTGATGATAACTCCTGTGTACGTGGTCCCCCCCTCTGGCACTCCCCCCATCATCCGCGCTTCCGGCGACAAGGGCGGCGGCCGACATGAACGAGGGAGAAAAAATTGGCGCGCAACCTGTCGCCCTACCTCCGCCGACATGGGGAGTTCCCATCACACTCGGGTTCCCTCCCTTAGCCCCAAACGCCCACGTTCCTCCCCCTCCCACTCCCGAATCGCCTTCCACACCCTGAGACCCCCCCTGGGAATGAGACGAGGAGGACGACGAGGTGGAGGAAGTGTACATCGAGGATGCACCAAATATGAACGGCATTGAGCGCGTGCGCATTTCTTCACCATTCACACTCCCCAGAGCCGACGCTATACTGCCGCCTGTACCTCCCGCTCCAGGAGCTGCCGCTTCGGCGAAGAAAACAGTTCCCTCCGGACTCTTCCCCCTCTGCTGGCTCCCAGAACTAGACGACTCGGCGCGACTCCCACTGCCTCCTCCCCCGAGGCCCGTCCCTGCTCGTATACCCTCTTGCTGTTGTTGCATCCCGCCTTCGCCTCCCCCTCTCTCGGATGGTACAGTTGTGCCTGCTGCTGTCTGCGCAGCCACAGAAGCGCCGTCCCGGAAACACTTGGCGGAGTGCTGCTCTCCCACCGACTGACTTGCGCCCATCTCCGACGCGCCCGCCGTGAAGAAGTCCGCCGTGCGTTCCCCTGACACACAGTTCACAACGACATCAAGCACGTGCTGATGAGCCAGGGAGGAAAAATGAATGACATCAGTTTCCTAAGGGTGGAAGAAGAAGAAAATGGCAAGAGCACACGAGATGTACAAGTAGCACAATGTTCAGTCCAAACAAACGACAACAGTTCACCGGCAGAAGAAGAAAGACCGGGAGAAGAAGTCGTTGAGCTAATCCAAAATTTCCCCAGCTGAACCCCACAATCCTTTCCCTTCCCTTGTGCCAACCCTTACCTGCCCTTCCCCTCCTACTCCCTTCCGTTCTTCCTCACAATCCTTTCCACACCCCACCCCTGTCGTACTTTGTCTGCTGCTGCCATTGCAGCTGCTGAGGGCATTGTCGACAATCCCGGTGATCCCATTCCCAAGGAAGGAACAGGACCTGTGGGAAAGGGGCGGTGTGCAGATCTGCTCACATGGCGATGGAAGGGCATTGTCGACAATCCCGGTGATCCCATTCCCAAGGAAGGAACAGGACACGTGGGAAAGGGGCGGCAGATCTGCTCACATGGCAATGGAAGAGAGGAGTAGGAGGAGGAGGAGGAGAGGGATGCGAGGGATGAGAGGGAAGACGGATCGAAAGCGCGAAATGACAAGATACCTTCCCGGGCCAAAACGCGCCCATGAGATGGCTTCGCTCGAGCTGCTGTCGCCGCTACTGTTGCTGCTGCTGCCAAATCCGCTCCGAAGACAACAGCACATCTGCTGCTTCTGGTCTGCGCCCCTTCTTTTCGTCTGTAGCCTGTGCCACTCCCTCCTCCTCTTTCTCGCCGTGATTCCAGACTTCTGACCAGATCACTGCCAGAGAAGAACATGGAGACACATCCGTTCCGACCTCCGTGCTCACGGTTCAAACCAGGATACTTGTGCTGACCACCTTCCTCCTCCGATCCCTCTCTCCACACCGGCGGCTTCTGCTTCTCTTCTTGTCGTTGTTGCTGCTGTTGCTGCTGCTGCTGCTGCTGCCAAGCTCGCCTCCGGACTACACTGCGGTCACCTCGCTGCGATTCCCGGCGACTCAAAGCAGCAGAAGATCTTCTACACGATCGCCGTGACACCACGGCCTCTCCCAGACAACCATTAATTTCGAGCCCAAACGTAAGCTCCAATCCCTGCAATCCATCTCCAAATCTCAACCGTTCAAGCTCTCCAGTCAAAGATGACACTGTCGCCGACAACCCCTCTGAAGAGAAAGAAAAGATTCCGTCCGACGTGGCAAAGATTCCGTCCGACGTGGCAAACATTCCGTCCGACGTGGCACGTTGCGAGAACCCCGTGCTCGGAGAACACGACTGTCCTTGCCAGCTGGCAGCAGTGGAATCGGCCAGACTACACGACGACTGCAAAAAACAAGTCCCCGCCGTCGCACCCTCAACAACTGCTGCGGCTACTCTACCTGCTGATGCTATTGACCCTGCTGACGGTGCACGTACCCTTGCCGCTACTCCTCCACCCGATAATGTGGCTCCTGTCGTTTCGTCAAAAACTATGTTGTTCCCCGTTGCCTCAAATGAGAAAGGACGAGCAGTATCCAATCTAGAGGAGGAAGAGGACGACGAAGAAGAAGAAGAGAAGACAAATCCGAAGTCAGAGAGCTGCTCCTGTTGCACTTGTTGCTGCTGTTCCTGTAGATGCCGCGGTTGCTGCTGCTCTGTCACGGCGGCGTGACAGACCGCGCTGCTGTCACTGCACGGGTACCCTCTCCCCCAAGTGCTCGGGGAGCGTGACGAGCAGAAGAGAGAGCGGGCAGAGGGCGTATCGCCGCACTCCCCACCCTGATCGTCGCCAACACTGTTATCGCCGCCGTCGACTCCCGTCAGTTTACCAGATTGATCAATCGTAGGATGACGAGGCTGCCATCTTGGCCCTGCACCTGCGACTGACAACACCGACGAGGAATCGAGGAGGACGCTGTGCGAAGGCGAATGGACAAAGCCAAACCTGCCAGCACTGGAAGACGTCGAAGTGTTTGACGAACGATCGAGAGAAAGAAGTGTACTTAAGGAGGCATGCTCGCGGCTGGCGCATGGCTGCGCGACAGCGGGAAACGCACCACAGTCATCTCTAACTCTCCCATCCGATAGCCCCCCCGTCAGCGATCCGGGATGCGCACGTCGATTTCTGCCATCTTCGACGGTTTCTTTCACTACAGCATTATTACTAGTATTTCCAAATGTATGGCTCATGCAGATAGACCGATTCCAACTGCGGATGGATGAACTCTTCATCCCGGTGGCGGTTATGCTCGAAAGAAGGCGGCCTCCTTTCTCATCATCTTCGCCAACGTCAGTCACACCGGGATGACGAGAGGAAAATGCAGACGTCCGGCTTGTAGAAGGAGATGCCCAGGCGGCTGCTTGGTTCCCGCCGCCTCTGCCTCCTTCCCCTCCTTCCCCTCCGGTTCCGTCTCCCCCTCCCGCGCACATTTTACCGTCGCTGCCGCACGCGCGGTTTCCAGCCATCACTGCGGACCCCACAACGTTCGAGCAGCGGCCGCCGCAGTGATGCTCGTCCGACAACGACGGCGCCGTCGAGAACAAGTGCGCGCGCTCGCGCAACGCGCATGCGCTCCCCGACAGCGAACGCGACTTGCCAGGCGGAATAGCAGCGCAGCGAGAAAGATATTCGAGACTCGTCGCGAATGGCGGGAAACGATTCGTCGCAAATGCCGAGGAAGAGCAGCCTTCCCCGCGCCCGAGCAGGATACCTCCGTCCTTAGCGGCAACAGCGGCAACAGACGCAATTGGAGCAGAAGAGTTGGGAGGGCAAGCAGAGCCTCCAGAAAGAGACGACGAAGGATCACCAGGCCCGTCGCATGAGATTTGAAGAGACGAGAAAAACGAAGGAAGCGCGGTCAACGAGAGAGAATCCGGCTCGGTACTCGCCATACTGGTATCACAGTGTAACGGAGCCACGGCAGAAATCGGGGTAGTAGAGGTCGATGGAGCCCCCATTCCTCCCGACATCTCTGTGCATTCAACCCATGCACGAGCTTTAGACGAGAAAGAGAAGACAGCCGCAGAAGCCGAAGCAGAAGCAGACGAGGGTTTCGATTCAAAACAATCAACCGAGAAACAATCATCAGATGATGGGATAGCACAACATCCACTAGGAGAAGATGCGGAGGGAGGGGGGATGGAGGATGAGGAATTCGAGTCGGCGACGTCCGCACCCATTGAACACTCTGAAGCCGCACATGCTGACGATCCCGACCCCGATGAACAACTACCACGAGCCATCGTACTCCACGGCAGATGTGACAACCCGCCATTTCCATCCCCAGCATGAGTCGAAATCATCATGGGATGCTGCTGCAGAGATGACCTCGCCTGATTTAGCGAAGTGCTGCTTGGAGACACGGAGAAAGCTCCAGCAGCTGATGATGACATGGCCGGAGCAGCGGCGGCAGCAGGAGCAGCAGTGGCAGCAGAAGCGGCAGCAGAAGCGGCGGAAGCAGAGTCGAGATCCGCCCCACAGCCACCAAAGATAGACAGATTACATAACATACGGGCATTAGTGGAGTGCAGCAAGGATGTGATTGTGGGAGTGTGATTAGCAAAATCCGTGGAAGACTGACGAGAGGATGAGGTTCGGGGTGTAAGGGCACAAGGAGTAATACCGGAATGTGCCCTTTGTTGGGTCCTTTGCCGGAAGGTCGTTGCGCGTCGGTGTGGCCGGTGTGCAACTCCCCCGCCTACTGTGTTTCCCCCTCCGCCAGCGACGCCGCCGTAGTAAGGTTCCGCCGAAACAGAGGCCGGCGCGTCCGCGCCACCAGAACCAGCGGAACCGGAAACGCTGGGAAACGACCCTCCGCTGCCGCTTGCGAACACTAGACCGCCGCGGAAAATGCCGCCTCCTGCTCCTCCGAGTGTGTTGAGCACCTGCGTGGTAGTTGATGTAGATTGCTCCTGGCCGCTTGAAGATCCGAAGACGTAGGTGGCGGTGCGCTTCAGATCATTTGACGAGGAGCCCAACGATGATGCAGCAGTGGTGGAAGAAGAAGAAGAAGAAGAAGAGGAGGAAGAGGAGAGCCCGTTGAACTCGACTTTGGTCGAAGTGGTGCAAGCAACAGTCGCAAACTTGCTGTTTGCTGACAACTCAGGGGAAGACAGTCTGAGAGACGAGGTCGTCGTGAACCCTCCTCCTCCTCCTCCCACCCCTCCTCCTCCCCCAACTGAGTTCCCCGTTGCAGTTCCCGCTCCTCCTCCTCTCCCATCATTCCACAGCCGGCCGTTCGCGTGACCATCCCACGGATTCAGCCCCGCATTGGCCGCCGTGTAGTACAATCCTGGTGTAGACATCCGGTCGAGCCGGATCACGCCACCTCGTCGCGTCTTACTTCCTCCCCACCCTCTCTCTCTCTCTCTCTCTCTCTCTCTCTCTCTCTCTCTCTCTCTCTCTCTCTCTCTCTCTCTCTCTCTCTCTCTCTGTATGTGTGTGTATGTGTCTCTCTCCCCCGCCAGCCCCGCCCAGCGAGCTAGGTGTCAAGCTTCGGTATCGTGGCCCCGAACCCCTTCCCCCCCCCCCCCCCCCCCCCCGGGAATATATTCTTTACCGCTAGACCGACTGGCTTAAGAATGGATGCTTCCACCACCGCCTATGCCGCTGCTTCAACAACGCCGCCGACTTAGCTCCCTGGAGCTGTCCACGACCCGCAGAGTGCAGGAGCATCTGCGTATGGCAAAACAACAAAACAAACAGACCAAAACAAGAACAAATTGTCGCTCTGTAAGATGAAATAACCTCTCTCCGCCTTGTTGCTGAATATCCAAAAGATCCGAACTAAAGTCTTCATCCGCGTTGAACGCCCGGTCATTATAGATGTATTTGGGACAATTTTCAGTCCAGATGCAGCCATAATAACTGGGCGTTCTATTCGGGTGAAGACGGCAGACTCCCGCGACGAACAATAGCGTCACACTTATAGTGATATATGCACAACGTAAACTGTCGCACAGTATTAGACAATCACCCCTACTACGCTCACGCGAAATTACCGCCCAGGCCTAACCAATCCCCGCCGAATATAACCCCACCGGCTCAATGCACGAGAGAACATTGAAAGTGCACAACACTTACGGCCCGAATAATGGGACACCACCCCTAGTTTGGCGCCATGGAAGTTCAGGCGCGATGAATGCGCCTTTTGGACAACCCATCCAACCGATACAGAATACGAGTCCTGCGTGTCAACGTCACGTGGCAGGGCAATTGAAGACGGCTATGAGGGAGAAGATCCGCAACGAAAGGACGACTAATCCGCACCGTCGATAACACAAGAAGACTACCCAGACCGAGAAGCACATTCCGGGGGAAGAGCAACCGCCTAGAGAAGATGCCGTGGTGTGGGAGGAGTGGGGTGATGCAGGCTATGAGAGGGGGAGCAAAAGGACAAAACACGTATACAATCACAAGTGGATAATGCGGCAGGGGCAAAACTGAAAACAAGGAGGAAAATCGAAGGCTGACAAACGAGAAAGCACAGGGAGAGAAACCGAAGTGGGGACCACACGGAACGCGAAAGTTATGGGAGATGTTGGGGAGCAGTACACAACTCCGGCGGGCACACAGGAGAGACAGCATAGCGAAGACAGAAAAGGGGAAAGAAACGGAGGCAAACGCAAAGCAGGGGACGATAAGCGATGGCGAAAGAAGGATAAATAGCGTAGAGCAAGGACCCAAGTGCAGTGATTTAGTATAACATAAGACAGGGAGAACAGACGAACCCGAGGGCGGTCATAATACAAGTGTAAGGGCTTGGAGAACGACGATTTGAACAGTTCAACGAGGGGCAGCGATCTAACCATGAAAGGCACGGGAAAGAAGAGCAAGCTGCTGATGGTGAGAGGAGAGAGACCGGTAGGTGGTACAAAGGACGGCGGAGAGCAAGTGAGCTGGGACCTCGAAAGTGGGCAAGTCATGAAACACCACGACGGTGGACAACGTATAAACCGATGATAACGGGTCCAGTGCCGTAGCCAGCGCCCGCAGAGGATAGGATGAGAGGAACAGAAGTCCGCCCAGCGGTATCCGCTAAGTGTCGGAAGGGAGGAAAATGACAGGCACTCAGTGCTTTCGCATGCCAAAATCATTGGTTGGCTGTAAGAAATTGTTGCATTCATTCACGTTCACGTTGTTGTTAAAGGTAAAAGAACCAAAAATAGGCACGAGAAAGAGTCACTCTTCGTCACCACATCGCCTCCGTCGATTTGGTTGCTTGCTTCATAGCGAAGCGACGAGAGAGTAAGACCAGATGCTGATGCTGTGGGCTTGAAGGAAGCATGGCATATCTACCAGCTTCCCGTTCATCCAACGCAATCTCGCCCCCTCCAGCCATGCAATCATGCCAGATTAACACAAAACGATCACCCGCCCAGTCAATCAAGCAAGCAAGCAAGCAATTCATAGCCAGACCATCACACGGACCTTCAGTCCATGCCACGTATTCCCTACAACGCAAGGCAACCAAGCACGCCATCATATCGCAGTGCTCACCTGAATTTCCCGCTCGCTCCGTGGACCACTTGCCCACATGCCTTCCACAAAAGAGTAGCGGCACGCAGATCCGACGCGTGCACAACCATGGGATGATAAAGGAAAGCAAAACGGAGAAGGCGAGAGTGGAAAAGGCAGGGGGGAAGAGGGTGCGCAAAGGGGAGAGGAGAGAGGGGGGGGGATTTGTAAATCATGTGCCACGCCATCCACTACCCCAGCGGTACGGCAGATACAATTGTGGGATAATAAAGCAAAGGAAAGCAAAAGGGAGAAGGGCGAAGTGGAAAACAGATGGGGGGAGGGGGAGTTGGGGAGAGGGGGAGCTGGGGGGTTGTTTGAAAATCATGCGCCACATCATCCACTGCCCTACGGTAGGGCAGACACATAGTCTTATCGTCGTGTTTTATCATCGACGACGCATCAACCCCAAATCTACATTTACCCATCAGCCCCAAAACTACATACATTTACCCATAAGCCCCAAAACTGCATTCACCCAGATGAGAGACGTGGCACAGCTGCCACTGGTTGTTCCATTGTTTTGGGAGGGAAGATCGAAGAAGAACAGAATATTACATGCGGGCCTCCAGCAGCTTTAAAGGACGAGAGAGGGTGCCTGGGTGGAGTTGGGAGGCAGATTTTTCAGGAGCCTCGGAATGGGAAGAAGCTGAGAGAAGGAAGCAGGGAGGCCGGTCTCCTGCGAAACAGACTGCATCATGAACGTACCACGGGATCACGTGAAGCGGATGTCCCATCCGAAGCCCACGCACAGGTGGATGAGAAACCCTAATTACACTTGGGTAACAAATTGTCAGGGAAACGGGCATGAGTACTCCATGAACTACCATACCTTAAGACGCGTGAGTGAGGCGTAGGCCAACGACTGTCGCCCCCGAGGATGCGAGTCCCCACCTCCGTTTCCCAGCCTCTCCCAAGCCTTTGAACATTCCCTGCGCCAGTCCAATGCACAACCTCCCACCAGGTTTGGCAGTGACAGTTTTCTCAGTGGGCTGGGAAATAAAGGGTTCGGGCAATTGTCACCGGCGATGGAACCGCGGGGAAGCGCTCGTTCCGGAGCCGTCTGAGGGAGCTGTAGATGGCGGGCATCAACAGAGCAGGAGAGGGACAGGCAGGCTCTTTCTACTACTGGGTTCCCTCCTCCCTGTCTTCCCGACCGCCTGGTCCCGGGGCCGCGGATCGACGCCCGCGCAGTTCAACCAGCGAGTCAGGCAGTATATATACCCACTCGGGGTGATCCCAACCCGGTCAGGCTTTGCTTGTCCGAGACCGGACATCCTGACCTGGTCTGGCGACCCAATCTGTATCCCTGTGGGCATGTTGTTACCGCTCCTACTCACCCAGAGGCAATGTCTACGGCTTTTTTCAACCAACCGGGTTGTTCATTTTCACCTTCCTGGCCTCCCATCCACCCGCAGTACCCACTCCTCGCTCGACGCAGGGACACGACCTACTCCTCCATGGAGGGTCCGGAACCCCAAAGCAACCTCACTCACCCTGCCATGGACTACACTAGAATCGCCGGAACACCACTCGTCGTCTACTCGTGGTCGTGGGGACCCTGCCAAAGCAATTTGCCATTTGCCAAAACCATGCCCGATGCCGAACTCGCATCCGACCAAACAAGCATTCAGCAAAAGCGCACCGACCACACGACTACCCACGCCATGTGATCAGGACATGCATGACCATTTAGACAGTGCAGTAGACCAGCGCTGCGCTGCATACACCATCCATGCGAGATTGAGATTGTAGATGTAAATGCATGGTGGCTGGGATTGTACGGCGTGGGCACCTGATCGACTGCATCGACTGCACTACACTTTTCGCTAGTACTCTCTTTATCTCCTTGTCAGACCTCATCTGAACCCCTTCAGAACGGTGTGACCGTCCTCCTCTCTTCCGTTCCATACTGTGCCCCTCCCTCCCAACCTCCATGCTTACTTGGCCTTGTTCAAGAGCAAGCGGCCTACCTCGGTTGGTTCGGCATGCAAGTGGCATTGAAGAGGTCGTGGGTTCAATCCCGACTCTCCACCTGGGCCACGCTAGGTGCCATATTGCCAACCAGCTGAGTTGGCTTGCTCCCCCTGGTTGGTATTGTTAGGGTCCTTAGCGGTCACGTGTTCGCAGCCCGTCAGGGTTGCGTTTTCCCCCCCGAGACATTTCAACGTTCAATGACATTTCAACGTCGTGGTCGTCGGGAGGGTGGGCATTTTGAGGTTTTGGGGGCTTGCAAGGGCCAGGACCGAGTAGGACCGGTAGCTGCGCGGAGGAGGCTGAGGAGGCCGCGGTCCTTAAGCCTTTTTCGAAATTGAAACGAATACCACAGTTTCCTCGAATAGAAAATGTACAGGTTGTATTCGAATACAACCTGTACCCTTTTTATTCTATTCGGATTTCGAAAAGAAAAACTTTTGTATTCCGATAAAATTACTTCTTCTTTTTGTTGGAGGTCAGCGCCT